TAGTTTTTGTTGAAAACATAATAAGGACCTAGTCAAAGAAATCTTTAATCCACTCAAAGTAGTTAGTATTATATTTATATTCTGTAGGCTATAGGCCTAGAAAATTGAGAGACATTTTCGCTAGTGTAGTAACTTGGTTGCAACTACTTATCTAGTACTGCTTTCTAAAATTAATCAGAGGGGGTCAAACAGACATCAGGAAACTAGCAGAGGAGACCCATTCAAAAAAAATCTGTAATAGCTCAGTAATGAAGTAGTAATATACTATTGGCAATGAAACTACAAAGAAGAACAAGAATGAAGAACACTTTATAGAATAATTAAATTATGACAATGGATCATTTATAGGAGATATAAAAGAAATAAATATAACTTAAGCTTTGTACAGGAGCAAATGAGAAAATGTTAAACACATTAACAAAAAGGGAGATCAGGAATACAAACTCAGGATGGAAGGGAGTTGATGTATGTTGCTTTACATAGTCTGTTTATGGGATGAAAACGGTATAAATAGTTGCTTGTTGATTGATTTTTACTTTATTATAATTGTCTTTTTCCTGGTCCCTTATTTAGGTTTTCTAAATTCCTGCTATGAGTGAGACCATCTGGTATTTCTCTTTTTCTTTCTGGCTTATTTTGCTGAGCATAATCCCTTCCAGCTCCATCCACGTTGCTGCAAATGGCATGAGTTTATCTTTTTGATTGCTGAGTAATAGTCCATAGTGTATAGAGACACACTATGGGGTGGTGGGGGGAGGAGGAGTAGGATCAAAACAAGGGGTCCTGGGAATTGTATGGGGAATATAACCAAGATGAAAATGCATACATTTTCATGAATTGAAAAATGAAAAATGATGTAAAATATATAAAAATGAAAAATGATGTAAAATATATAAAATTTAAAAATAATAAAAATAAAAAAGAAGAGGGCATAAGTAATGGAAAAGCAGCTGGCTTGAAATGTGAGATAAAAAGAAATCTAACCTGAATATACAAATTTGGAAAATGTAAACCAGATAGAGAAAGGCAAATACTGTTGGTATTTTGTAAAATTAAAAGCAAAGTAAACCTCAAAGAGTATAAAAATATCAGAGATTTAGGGTAGGAAAAATGGGAAGATGGTAGTAAAAGGTACAAACTTTCAGTTATAAGATGAACAAGGTCTGAAAAATCTTATGTATAAAATGGTGAATATAGTTGAAAACACTAATCCAAAGTTACTGAGGAAAAAAAGGCAATGTAGACGCTCAAATTATCACATTGTGCACTTTAAATATCTTACAATTTTATCAACTATGCCTTAATAAACTGGGGGAAGGAACAAACATTTGTATATAGGTAAAATTTAAGTGCCTGAAAGTAAATTAGATTTATCTTTTCTCATTAATTTAGGAAAAAATTGATGAAGTTGAAGATCATTCTCTTTTATAATTTTTATAATAGGAAAATTTCTTAGAATTCTTACATTACTCTTAATGATATAACAAATATGCAAAAGTCTTTTAAAAGACAAGAGATTTTATCTAAAGATAAAATTAAAAATTCTTTAAATCAAAATTTTTAAGCCCATTCATGGACAGATGTATTTGGCAACAAAAATATTTTACTAGGAATCACCTTTTTAGCATATTATATATAATCATTATTTTCCTCATCTCTTTATGTGATTCTTTATACAAGAACTTTTTATACTCTTAGTGGAAGACTTGAAAAAAAATACCTATTTCAGTGACATTGGCTTTAATTAAAAATGTATGACAGAAAAATTCATCACTTTAGTAATGCACTTACTTTGTGTCTATTATAGATAGCCTTTGCTCTCAATAAAGTTATATAGGCACAGTTGTTATCTAGTCATAATAACATGATTTTCTTAATGAGATGGTTTTACTTTCACTTCAAAATGAAATAATATATTTTATTGTACTCTCCTCGGGCCTTTTTAAATTATGAAAGCATAATGCTTATTAGTGACAAGTGAAGAAAGCAATGGATAATATTCTCTTGTCCTTCCTGACTGCCTCTGAAAATAATAATTACAATTTTAATTTGAAGATGAGGCATATTTTAAAAATGTTCACCATGTGAAATTTCTAGACTGAACTATACACATATTTTTCATTGTGAATCATACAGAAGCTACAAATTGTTTTCAATCATAAAAACAAATATATTGCTACCATTGATTTAAACTTAAGATTTTCAAGATGCAGTCTTTCCCAGTTAGTGATATTAGTGGCATACACTTTTAAAAGTTTAATTCCCACTATTGCAGAAATTACTGCTATTAGGAAGTTTTAACAGGGTCTGGCCATTAAGAAAATACTATGCCAACAAAGCTCAGCAGAATCATCTATTGCATGGGATTTTTTTTTAAATCAAGATGAAATTTAATTAGTGAAATTATACTATGTACAAAAACCGTGGATTTAGTCAAAACAAAATTTTTAAACATTTTTAAAATGTAAAGTACAATTTAGCTTAAAATTCCTTACATTTTCAATTACTATAAATAAGTTATTTTGTTACTATATTGTTAAATATTGCTTCCACATACAGTGAGGTGGTTACATAAAGTTGCAGTTTTCACTTTAAAGTCTTAATTTAAGCACGAAGTGTGGCATTTACATTCACTTGATTTTCTAAAATTTTTGTACTTTACTTTTTCAAATCCCTTTATATCCTTCAAAGAAATATTTTGTGTGTATTTGCTTAGAATTTATTTTTTTTAAAGATTTATATTTTTATACAAGCACTGGGTACAGTCAGAAGCGCGGGAGGGTGTGACAATTCACCGGAGCAAGAGCGGGGAGTAGAACACGCAGAAGGACCGAAGTACACTACTGAGGGGAGCAGCGGGCGGCAGGAGAAGTCTGTGCGCCATGTGAGACCCTCGCCTGGTGGCCTGGGATCAAACAGGCACTGCAGAGGCTGAGGGCAGATTCGCAACCCAGCGCTCAACCGCTGCGCCACCAGGGAGGCCCCTTAGAATTTATTATTAATGACTTCTTTTCTATGACTATAGAAAATGTCTTATAAAATGTGATCTAAGACTCCATTTCATCAATTCTAAAACTTATTGAGTAAAATATTCACCAGCTAAGGTCCTCAATTATTTTTAATGTTCCAGCTAATAATGGAAATATATCACTTCATTAGTATTGTATTTTTTTTTCTTTTCATTACTTTTAGTTGCCCAATTGCATTTTATTCACCTCTGTGGAAGCAAATTTTGAGTCACTGATCTGTAGGTGATGCTTGGTTTTGCTGCACCTCTTGGATGAAAGTAAAAATTATTTATAGAAATAATTTTCAGGAAATAATTTTCAGGTAATAAAAGTTCAGATAATTTTCTTACTAAAAATCTTCATAGTCAAGTATGTGACATTGGAATAAAATTATTAGTAGGCATTGACCATCATGAATCCTAGAAGTGGAGACATAAATGTTTAAGTATAAATTGCCTTAATTAAGCATTTGAGAGATGGAAAGATTAGGTTCAATATGGCTTCCTGGTAAATGGACTTCACATCCATGTGAATAGAGTTCTTCCAAACCATCTAACTAGATTTTTGTCTTCACCTCAAAGTTTCTTGTATTTTATTAACAATTTCCCAAATCATATACCTAAGAACACGTTGTAGTTCAAAGTTGAGGCAGGAGGTTTGAATCCATTCTATTTTACTGTGTTCTGTTTTACCTCTCACTTGAAAGGTTTTTTGAAAAACTTACTAATTATCTTATTACTTTAGCATGGTAATCTAGTATTGTCAGCTATGAATTCAATTTTTCAGATTAGATCAAGCCTAGATATACCAGTTGTTCTTAAGAAGATCTATTTTCACATATGACCCATTAGTCCATGATTGATCAACAGCAAAAATTAGATTTTCAAATTAATACACTTGACACAGTTCACAAAAATGACCCTCAATTGAGAAATGGAACAGAGTCCACTTTGGAAAGCAGATTGTTATTTAAAAAAAAAAAAAAATGTTACCAAATGAAGGAAAACTGAGGTTACATTTGACTCTGTGGTGGTCAGGGCTGGTTATGCAGGTGTGAAATGGGTATAGAACTTTCTGAAAATTATGGGTTTCCAAAAGTCTATGAAGAATAAAAATGTGTGGCGGACCAGAGAAAATTCCCTGGTTTTACTTCGCTTAGGTATAAACTGAAACAATCAAATCTGCATAACATCCATATTGTACCAGATGCTGTTACCTACTTGTAAAGCTGTGTTAATTAAGGTCATTTAATGTTTTCCTAACTGATCATTTTGAGAATAGAATTTTGTTCAATATAATTTTTAAAAATTGTAGCCTTCTAAATAGTTTAATGCTAGATTTTACAAATTGTAGGAGACTGTGCTATATGTCCATTTTACCCCTGTCTTTTTGACTTGCTGGTCCATATATTTTTTTACATTGTTTCACAGCTTTTGTGTCTTATCCATGGATACTACAGGGATGTCTTCAAATATTAACTTGTAACATCTCTAATAGTTTTTGGCATTATATAATCCCTAAGGAAAACTGTGGTCATGTGCATTAATTATGGCTTTTACTTATGCAAATTTGACAAGTCATTGGAGGGTGGAAATGAGTATGAAGTCCTCTCTAGTTATCTGATTTGTCATTTGTTTCACTGTATTAAGAGGAATTGTGTTAGCAATGAAGTTACCTCAGTCTTAGTATTACTCCTTCCATCTCTTGTTTTGTGGAAGCTCTCTTCTTATTTTTCAGTGTTAGCTTTTTGTTTTTTCTTTTTTTTTCTTTTTGCATGTTCTGTACCAAGCTAACATATTTACTCCACCAGCATAACACTACAATAATTGCATAACACTACAATAATTGTAGTGTTATGATTTCTACCATTTCTTTTCAGAGTTATCCAAATATAATAGTGTTCCATGAATTATATTTTAAGTGATAACTGCATAAAAATATGAAATGCTGAAAAGTGAGTCAAGCTTATATTATGCATGCAATGTAGCATACCTGATTTGCTTCCCGTCTGAAAGTTCCTTAGATCTTCATAGGACAACACCTTAACCTGTAAAATGATATTTTGAGAACAGATATTTCAGTGAATCTAAATTTAAAGTTAGAAGATTATCTCTAAGGTCGATCTATTGGAATTACTTATCTGAGCCAAAGTAATTCAAGTAATTCAGGTGTAGTGAAACACTTCTAATTTTAAATTCAGAAGCACTGAGGAGTGAGTTGGATTATCAGCTATAGCACTTAGTTGATCCTCTTTCTTATCATCCTTGACTTTTAAAGCCTGGCCTTTTAAAAAATGTGCTTCAGAAATCCATGTGCTCACAAGCATTTGATTCATTAATTTTGAAAGACTATTACAAAGGTCTTTAAGTGATAAGTTCAGTGATATCAGAAACCCAAGTGTGAATATACACAATTAAAAAAAAAAAAGAACTCTGTAAAATGTCACAATGAATCAGGGGTTCCAAAGTGAATCTTGGATGAAAGGACAATTAAATCCTAACAGGCAAGTCATAATTTATTTTTGGTAGGTGGTGGTTTTCATGAAGTAGGAATTATACATACAAGGATAGTCATAGGTGGCGGTGGCAGCAGAGGCAGCAGCAGCAGATGCATCCATCTTCACGCCAGCCAGTCAGAATCTGAAGTGTTTATACAGAGAGGCCTTAACAAGATTCAGTCAAGTATACCATCCAGATGATCTCAATAACAAATTACTGAAAGGTGCTTCCTTTCAGTGGCTCCAGGAGGTAAAGCTGAAAGGTCATCCATAGGGCATGTCCTTTCTGTGACCTCCACCAGTCACCCCTAGTGATCAGCTCTGACAAGTAAAAAGGTCCCCCTTTTCCAAGGTGTGCCCTGGAGCATCCCACAGTCTGAATCTTCATTCAATGGATCCTTTGATTTTAGGGGTGGGCAGAGAATAAAGAACTTCCTTTTGTCCCTATGTTATGTTTTCAGTGCAAACATTTGCAAACCCTTTATTTTTAATTTTGTTACAAAGGGATAAAGATAATACAGATTGTACATACATCAAACTAAACTTCTAAATAGGTACCCTAAATTGTCTCGTTAGTCTTGTTGGTCTAGACATAAACTAAACTATATTTCTTCTCTCCCTATCTCTCCCCCATCCTGACCCTCAACAACTTTTCTTTCTAAAGGTACAATATATTTAGCAAAGAGTAGGAATGACAATGCTGCCACTTGCTAAAGTCCCAATTTTCATCTGATATATATGTGTATATAATGTATAAGTCTATAGATGTACACACATACATAATATGAAATTTTACATTACAATAGGATTAAAAATGAACAAAATACTGTTTCAGATTAAATTATTTGTAAACTGAACTTTTGGTGATGATTAAACTGTGTTCAAGCAATGATATTGTAAAGGGCAGGACAGGACACAGTGCAGGTTTTCAATGATCCAGCAGACTGGGTAAAGGAGAAGTCAGAGTCCTCAGTGGCTTTTTGCAGGCTTTTATTGGGATTTGCCCGGTACACAGCAGGCAGGGATGCTGGGGGGCCGGGAGGCTGGCAGGCCTCCCAGCCCCCAGCACGTCTTCACTCTATCTGGGCTCTTCGGCCTTCTCTCTGCTTCTCTCTGCTCTTCTCATGGCTCTGCTTCTCTCTCAGCTTCTGCTGGCGTCCCTGTGACGACGCTCTTAAAAGCCCAGTCTCAGCCCAGGTGAATCCCATCTACCTATGCCCACACCCTACTCCAGGTGCCCGCCATCAAGCATGCATTCAGGACCGCAAGGATCCATCATCTATCCTGATGGCGGGAGGGCAGAAAAGCCTGACATTTTTCCTTACCCTACAGATATAAACTACTTTCAACTAAGAAATCAGGTAACATTTTAATATACTGTTACCAATAATTTTTAACTTTGTTTTCCCATTAGATATAGCTTATTATATTCTTGCTACTGTACTATTACAGTATAGGTAAAAGGGTCTTTAAGTTGTTTTGAATGTAAATAATTTACATTATGCTGTAGGAAACGGGACAATAATGACAACTGATTTAGGCCTTGAGGTAGAATTAGAGTTAGTATAGGGAGAAAAGAAAGACTGAGTCAGGGCTTTTAAATTTGGGGAAGATTTTTCAAAGACAGGCACAGGTTTGGGTATAATGTTTTGCAGGTCAGTGAGGAGAAGGAGCTCTGCCATGAGTAAAGTGGGCTATTGCACGAGATGGGAATCTTTTTACAAACATGTTGTGTCTCCATCAGGGAGAAGCTGAACCACCTGGTTGGAAGGTGGAGCATTACTGCATGAAGAGCAAACATGCTGTAGGTACAGAGGAAAAACAGAACAAAAGAAATAATTGCCAAATCTTAGACTAAAACAGAAGCCACAGGTTAACAATGAATAAAAGAATACAAACAGAACCAGGAGTCAGGAACACACAGGAATTTGACTCCACTAAGTCCACTTCAGCCATTTGTTGCAGACATTACTAAGTAACCATAACAATCTTTTTCTTCAGATAAACCTGATTAGCCCCATCATCACTCAGTATTCCGTGAATTCCTTTTTCATCATTACTGACACCTCAACATCTTTGAATACCTAAGTGTTAGAGGCAATATAGAGAGAAGTCTGTTATTTTTTCCTTAGGGTAAAGGAGATAAATAATTTGATTTTATTTTGTCCTCTATGGCTACTTTATTGGTTGTGATGCCAATTAAAGAGTTTATTAAACTGTGCTTCTCAAATTTTGGTCTGCAGACCACCTTCAGCAAAATCTCTGGACTCCAGAATCTCCGGACTCCTTTATTAAGGCCTGTTGAATGAGAATTCAGAACGAAGAACCTGTGTTGTTAGTATCACTATGCAAGAATCCATTACACAGAAAGTTTGAAATGCACGATCATAAGGAGCCATTTGGATGACCTCCTTGAAGAGCAAAAATGCTGATAGAGTCAACCTGGCGTAGTTACTTCTCCTTAATGATACCTAGAGTTAAATTCAGCTTCAGGGAGAAACCAAACATATTAGTTGAGATAAAATGTAACAGAGTAACTGTGTGTACTAGATGGAAACATACATATGCATTACACAATGCTAAAATAATATATTGATATGACTGTATTTTTCCTGAGTAAACTATCAGTGGTTTAGAGGAGTATAAACGCTTGTCCAGGAATAATCAGTGTTTGCTCCTGACCGAACCTTCTTTCGTTTCTAGCCTGTCGGAGCTGTCACTGTGTTAGTCTTATTCCTTAGCTTATGTGTTTAGCAACCCTAATGGAGTGCTGCCGATTGTAAGCTCCTAATAAAGACTTATTAAATTAAATTGTACTTGATTTTCCCCTCTGGCGATGCAAAACAAAGTAACATCCCATCCAGCAGTTGTGAAGGAAAGAAAATAGCTTTTCAAGGGTGGCCAGATTCAAGCCATATCTTGTTAAACAACATATTCAGAGCTAATAGTGAAGCCAAGTCCTAAAATTTAAAGCCATATCCCTCTATTTTTTCCTTCTCCTTTTTTTTTTTCACCTTGTGTCCTCCTCTTACTTTATTACTTCTTCCTAAAATGTGTTTATCCCCTTGCTCATTTTCCTGTCTAGAGGAAATATTTGCAACTTATAACTGCCCATAATATGTTTATTCTATCTCTCTTCAACTGTCACATATATCCTACTTTCATATATTTATGGGGTATAACTCACTGTTTATAAATAAGTGTCTCTAAAGGGCAGGTTCTCTTTAAGTCTCCAGCACCTGGCTGTATAAAGCAGAGGTGGCAATGTTTATGCTTACCCAATTATGCTTGCAAAAATGAATGAATGAATCAGGAAAGTCAGTTTGGGGAGGACTGTATAAGGAGAGATTCCTTTTGCCTTCATTGTCACTGTAAATTAAATGTTCTTGTTAGAAAAAGTATCGTAGGCCTCCCCTCGTGGCGCAGGCGGTTGAGCGCAGCACTGTAAAACTGTCCGCAGCCTCTGCAGCGCCGGTTCGATCAAGGCAGGACGGGGAGGGTCCCACATAGCGAGGCAGACCTCTCCTGTTTCACCCACTGCTCCCCTCAGCAGTGTATTTCGTCAGTCTGCCTGTTCTGTTCCCCACTCTGGTGAATCCTCTCACCCTCCCGTGCATCTGGCCTGTACCCCAGTTCTTGTATAAATAAATAAAAATCTTTTAAAACATTATTAAAATTAAAAAAAAAGAAAAAGTATTGCCCTTATTTGGATAGAGTTACTACATTGTTTCTTAAGTATAACTACCTTATATTTGCAAAACACCAGTGGGTATTTCTGAGATCTTCATTTGTGCATAGTACCATACCTACCAGGTAAATACAAAAGGTAACAAGGAAATTTGATTACTTCTTGTGAGTCATTTACTTTCCACTTACGAAAGCACACATGTATGTTTTAATTGTTCTTTTTGGAAGTTTCAGAGATAGTAAGAAAAGGTTTTATAGTACTTAACAGTCTATAGAAGTAAAAAAAAAAATGAACTATAAGATTTTATGACAAAGACAGAAAGCAAGATAGGGAAGACATGCTATTTAAATAAACATGCTATTTAAATGTATTTGAATCCATTGTCATTGTCCTGCTATGACAAGTGGTTGCCACTGTATAAGGTATGTTCTATATACAGGTATTAAATGAGTGAGAGAATGGGATTCAGTGACCCTAAACCAAGTCCAATTATTCCAATGACAGGAAAAAAGAAGTCCAGAACTTCTAATACTTCTTTGAAAATTTGAGAGAAATTTGAGAAAATACCTTTCTCTAAAATACTATCCCCAAAAGCAGTCTAATCTCTTGCCTAAATGCCAAAGACTAAACAGTAATCTATTCCCTCAGGTAGTGTATGTTGCAGCTTTATATTCTGTGAGTAAAGACTAGCAGAGATAAAATATTTAATAGAGATGACATATCACCCTGTCCCTCTAATTTATATTATACCAGACCATCAAATTTAGCTATAAATTATTTCATATCCCTAGAAATGCTGACATTTCTGAAAGTAAAGGATTTTTTCACTTTTGGTTTCAGATTACTGACTTTGTGAAAGGGTTGTGTTAATTTTTCTGGTCAAGTGTCAACTGATGAATCCCAAAAGGCACAACTAAAATGCTATAAACAAACATCTTGTGGCTTTATCAAACATGTTTAGCCATTTGTGAGATGGTAACTTTCCCTTGGGCCCCAACTAAAGGGAAAACAAAAAGAAACAAATATTTTTATCTTATAAATGAACACTAGTCTTGTAATGATATATATATTAAATTTTTATTTTGCATTTGAGTACATTTTATTGCATATGCAAGACATCCAAAAATTTTTAAATGTGTGTACTAAATAATATCATGAAAAGGAAGCTAGCCTTTAAAGTCACCCTTTGTAAAGGAAGGTACAAGGTTATTACACATATTTTCTCTGAATTTTCCTTGTAATATGAATAAGTACACATGAAAATTTGGTAAATGTCTTTCCCTAAGAAGATGCTATGCATTTTAGAAAATGTATGATTTGGCAATTACTAAATAAGTTATTCATTTCTTATGCATAATAAATAAATAGTTGCATTAAATATATGTAACCTGTAAGAATGTGACTTATGGTTGCCTCCACCAATACCAATGTATGTGCTTTGCTCATTCAATTTAATAATACATTTTCAATAATAAATAAATTAGGTAATAAATTTGTGTTATATGCTAGAACCTAGAAATAACTCTCCTTCCTCTTTCTCTCTTCCTCTCTCTCTCTCATACTCAGTACTCCACTGAAGTCTACATTTTTTGAAAAAAATAAATGTTTTATCGTGAGAAAATAAACAAATCAAAGGAAGAACAAGGCAATAATAAGTATAATCAATAATTCTTAATAACTTCCTTATAATTTTATTACTTTTTCTACATTTAAAAATCTCTTTACTATTTAATCTTCATAAAACCCTGTGAGGTTCTAAAATATTATTTTGACAATTTAACATCAGAGCACATCACAGTCCATTGAAGTCAATGATAGATCAGTTCTTATAGGAAGTAGTAATTTGTAGCATATTTAGTTTGACAATACAGTTTTCTTGATTTCAGCTCTATATATTTTCTACAGAACAAGTAAGTAGATTATATTGGTTTATAATTCCCCCATTTAACTATGTGAACTTCATGGCTTATCCTTCATTTATTCTTAAATGTTTTAAATTATTTCTCTTTACCTTTGCTTTCTCAGTCAATAAAATTTAATTCATTTGCTCTTAAATCCCAGTTCTAATACCTATATATATCCCCGACACCAGCACCACACAGAGTTTCTCTCATGCTCAGAGAGGTCACTCCAAAACTCTTTCCTTTGACTAATCAATAAACAGACTACTTGTATGCTTTCACAATATCTGTGGAGTTGGCTTTTCAGTCTTGATCAGGGGGTCTCAAGAGCCCTCCTCTGGGTTTGGGAGTAGGACATCTCAGTATATTCCTTCCATTCCCAGTGGGAGTAGCCGTGGACAGAGGCTGGCTCATTCCCAGCTTATCTACCTGTATTGGAGGGAGGGATTGGACTGAGGGAATCCTGGAGCCTCTTCCTTGTTCAATGAAAGTGGAAGAGATAACCTGACACCTTTTATAAATTAAAAAGATAGTAGACAGTGTCAGATCAGTGCCTTGCTATAACTAGTGGTTGCCATTAATTTTCAACGTGTTTTTAATATGAATTTATCATTGATTGACTCTGAGGATATATATGTACTTAATTTGCAAAGAAAATATTGAGGATTTTGTAAGATATTTGATTGCTTGCTTACCTAGGACACAGCATAATTTAAAAAAACATAGGTATTAGAATTACATAAATATAAATCTTAATTCCAGTTCTACCTCTTACCAGCTATGTACTTCTAGAAAGCTGACATTTTTCAAATTTTCAACAAGTAAGATGATAAAGAGTTATAATATTTAAATGAAACAGGCATGCAGGTGCTCACTAAATATTATTGCTGAGTATTCTCATCTTATTCTCTGAAGAGCTAACCTATTTTTCTTCCTTCCTTATTATTAGATAATATCAATTGGTTTCTTCTGGCATAAGTTGGAGTCAGACAATGAAGGTCAACAACAGAAGAAAGGAGAATGAGAGAAGTATTTCTTTTCCTAGGTCCCTTCCTATTAGGTTGCCAGGAACTACCTCTGGGTACCAAAAGAAAATTCTGGTGTCCAATCAGGTAGTCCTTCTTCTACTTCACAGATTCCAACTTTGTTCAGTCAGCAATCTCACCCTCCTCTAAACAACTTAGGCTACAGGCGGTAGTGGCTTCCTGCTGTGGTTCTCTCTAGATGCTTCATTAATTTCCTAAAATCATCTCGCACCATTGTAAATAGTTCATTTATTAAACTCTGATCAAACACCACTTTTCTATAAACCACCTATTCTCCAAATGGGACACTGACCAAATCATTATTGCAATGATTGTTATTATAATTATTGAAGAGTGGTCTCATTGAATACAATGCCAAGTGTCACTATGGAGAGTCATAGGAACTGACTTGACATCTTGAAATCTACCAAGTGATACATGAAAATGAAAAAAAATATTAATCCCATGGAAAAGTATCTAAAATGCCAGATTTCATAAATGAATTCAGAATGGTATATATTTGTTGGGAAATGTACTAATTTACCAATTATTTTTATCTGTATATACATGTAATACTGTTAAAATTGCACAAAAATTATACATGTAGGGCCTCCCCTGGTGGTGCAGTGGTTGAGGACTGGGCTGTGAAACTGCTCGCAGGCTCTGCAGCACCGGTTCAATCCCCGGACATCGGAGAGGGTCCCATATAGCGCACAGACCTCTCCTGCCGTGCCTGCTGCTCCCCTCAGTAGTGTATTTCGTCAGTCTGTCTGTTCTGTTCCCTGCTCTGGCTCTGGTGAATTCTCTCACCCTCCCGCGCTTCTGATTGTATCCAGTGCTTGTATAAATAAATAAATAAATAAATAAACAAATAAATAAATATTTTAAAAAAACAAACAAGGTACTAAAAATAAATTACACATGTATCAAATTCAATAGATTTGCCTTTTATGAGACTCATGAAAAATGTTATAAATGCCTTCCTGAGGGTGGCTAGGATAAGGATTGCTAAGAGAGACACCTCTGCCTCTTCAATTCTGGAGAGGCAGCAGAGTGATGGCAGAGGAGAGACCAAGCTGATCTGACCAGTACCTGAAAATCCAGCAGCAGGTTCACTGTGGGGAATGGCTCTACACTTTCTGGGAAAGGTGGCTATCAACAAAGTCTCTTCAACTGCAATGTGAAAAGAAAAGATACTGAGTGTTGGTCTACTCTTTCCTTTATTCAACTTGATATTTCCAACCTAGGCCAAGACACTTAACACACCATAATTTGTTTTGAAATGGACCTTCTCCTTAGCCAAACAATAGAACACACTTTGGTTGTTACAGATAAGTCCACTTTCTGTTTTGCTAAGAAAGAGGTATTTAATCTGGTACCCATTTCTTTCCTATAGAGGAATGCCCCAATTGCTACCATCAGAACAGTTGCAGACCAGTAGTTATAGAACTCAATGCTGATCTTAATGAATAAAATGTTTTAGCACAAGGTATGAGAGAGAATAGAAGCAAAATATTCTTTTAATTTAGAATGTTTTAAAAAAATTACACACTGATGTTTGTCAGTTACTTTCTCTGAAGCAGTTTAAGACATATCAGAGAAAAGAGCTGATTCATTTTACAAAGCCAGAGCAAAATAAATTAGCATGAGAGATTCTCCTTCTAGTAACTGTTGAGAAGATGAGCATTCATTTTCCTCCTTTCCTATCAGCAAGATTTCCAATAATCCGTAGTTTCAGGCAATTCACTCCTTCTACCTCAATTGGTTGACCCAGGCACTGGGATTGATTGCTACAGGTTTAATATAACTACAACTAATAGCTTGTAGATTGTTTTATAATCAAGCCTTGCCTGAAATGTCTGTTAAAGTTTGCCCCAGGAATAAGAATGTCAAAATACTTGGGACAAATGACTTTCTCCAAGTCAGGTGTAAAAATACTTCCTAACAAGATAGCAGAATCATTTGTTTCAGAACCTACTAAGATTTATAAACACAAACAACAACTAAAATAAGACAACTTACAAGTGTTTTAAGTAATAAGTCAAATTGTTGGGGACCTTGAGAAATATTAATTCATGGCCTATTGGTGCTATAAGAGGCAACAGAGAATCCTGAGGCCTGTTTTTACTTTTTCCTTAGAATGCTGGCAACAAGTCTGGCATCAATGCACACAGATAATTGTCTAAAACTTTGAACTTCTTTCAAATGTGGACATTTTAAAACATTTTTTTACTTACTTTTGATTTGAAATATGTTTTTTCAAGAATGAACTTCTTATGGATTTAAATACTGAGAGTGAAGACAAAGTTGAACTGAATTATTTGGGTTCTTACTGAATAATTCTTTCTGTGATGTACCTTTAATTTTCTTTATATTACTCCTGAACATTTACTTTAAAAAAATGTCTAAAAAGTCTTTTATTTTCCCAAAATACAAATTTAGTACATCTTAAGTACATGGTAAAATATTTACATAAATGAAAGCCCTGTATTTTTAAAATATGGTTAAAGTGAAAAGACTGCTGAAAATCTCGAACCTATTTTTGATCACAAAGAATTAGGTAAGGATGAGAAATATAATTTTGAAAAGATTTTATGTATAGAATCTAATAGATCTGATTGTTGTTGAGGCTGATGAAAATGACCTAGCTAAATTAACATAGAATTAATTATAATTTGTTTACTCTTACCAAGAGAATAGTGTGACAAAATCCCAAGTTTGCTCACAATGTCCAAAATAAATTTCTTAGGTTTAATTCAATATGTTTTGTTAATATGTATAATGTAAGCAAGTATTTGTAAAGTGCTTATTTATAAATATAATACATCCAAGTATATCTCATTAGATTTTGATATATCAGAGAGTATTTCAAATTAATTGAAGTGTGAATATAATTAAAACCTTAACTTAAGAAACATGACATCGCAAGATAACAAATATCACAATATTAAACCATATTGTTTCTGGTTTAGTATCTTACATCCAAATATTTCTTCTCAATGTGTCTGATGCTTTAACTAGTGCCTGAAAAAGCTAGTTTGCATAAATATTCAAGAGACACAACGATGAGCATTTCTTCACACTAACAGGTTTCTTATTTTAAGGAAGGATTATCTTTTTGATTAAACGCAAAGAATTAAAAAAAAAAATCCAAGCTTTCTGAATACTTTGGGTATGGATATGTTTTTGATGAAGGGAAGTTTGTTTACACTCATTGTAAAAAAGCATATATCATTATTCTTATGCAAAATCATTATTCCTGTGCTAAATCATTATTTATGAGGGTATCTTAAAAATAACAAAATTGTGAGCCCTTTAATCTAACAAGTGGTCATTTTACTTAAATCATATATTTCTACCTAGCTGTATTTCTGCTTGTGCACTTGATTTTATTTGTTCATTTTGACATTCGCAAAGCACTGCATCATGTAATGCATGCATTTCTTGTCACCATTTAGTCAATTACTTTAGCCATGGTTGGTTGAAGGTTTTAGATTGGCTTGTTTTTTGGTAAGATGGTCTCTGAGATTATTTGAAATACTGTGAAAACAAAAGTATGCAAGTATTTTGTCGTTGATTTCTTTTAGTTTTTTTTTTTAAGATTTATTTATGCATACAAGAACTGGGGTACAAGCCAGAGGTGTGGGGGGTGAGAGGATTCACCAGAGACAGAGTGGGGAGCAGAGCAGGCAGATCTACTGAAATACACTGCTGAGGGGAGCAGCGGGGAGTCAGGAAAAGTCTGCGTCACCATACGGATTTCTCCCTGGCCAGGGATCAAACTCGTGCTGAGTGGCTACCCATAGCTTCAAAGGTTGCATCTTAACCGCTTGCACCACCAGGGAGGCCCAATTTCTTTTAATTTTTGAACATGCCTTAGTGCCTTTTGGGAGAGGGGGGAGTTGGTTCAGAATAGAAGAAAACTAGAAACAATGACAATACAACAACACGTAGTTATCAATGTCTTTATAGATTATAGGTAAAATTTTACTTGTTTACCCTAAGCAATAAGTAATTATTTTACTAGTAATGTTCTAGTGTGATTTGTTTTCAAAATGATCATATTTGATATATTTATATACAAGAATATATCGTGAAAAATTGGAAATAGGTTTTGAAAAAATGTTTTGAAGTGCCCTTCTGATTATTTGAAGAGCACTGATTTTAAAATCACTTGCAAAAAAAAAAATCTTCTATTTTTCTTAGTCTTTATATTCCTTTGAGAGGTCTTGAATTTTTGAGGATTAAGAAATATCATCACACATTGCCATTTGAATTTTAGCATTACATAAGTCTGTTCTGAAGAGAATAAAAATAGATAAGTTTTTCAGGACATTCACATTCATGCTCCTTCTAAATATTATTTATGTAGGTAACATGCTATAAAACAGCATAGCATGATAAAGGGAAATCATTCATGAAGGAAGAGTCAATCAATATGAAAATGTCACTGGTGTCTTAAGAAATCGATGTAACTGCCCTGAATTTTAGCAACCATCACCCAGATCAGTCAGCAGCCATCAACATAGAGGCAAGATCTTCCACCAGTGAAATGATTAAGATTCATTGGAAGCTCAGATGATGGTTAGCATTTTTAATACTAAAGTATTTTTAAACTAAGATATATATATATATATATATATATAATTACATAATGCTTTTGCACACTAAACAGACTATGGTAAAAGGTAAGCATGATATTTATTTATACTGGTACTCAAAAAAAATCATGTGATTTTTTTATTGGTACATTCATTTTACTGCAGTGCTCTAGAACTGAACCCACAATATCTCCAAGGAGTGCCTATATTTAAATATTCATACTAATTTGTAGAATCTGGATTATTTTAGAAATAGGACCAATAGCTATAATTGTATTAAAGTTCCTTGCCATTGAAGGACTTACTAGAGCATGTTTCTCTTAATTCTGAGGATGGCAGAACCCATTTAGAATGGACAGATTTGGGGGTTTTGGGGTGTCCTTCACCCTGCCCTGTAACATTTAGAGCAAATACAGTCTTCTGATTCTGGACTCTACTGAACTGAAATTCTTGAGTTTAAATTCTGCATAATAAAAACAAAATTAAGAACCAAATTGTTGAATATAGAATATTTTATATGTACCTGATTTCCAGTTTATGTGCCCCGTGAATGATTTACAATAGTCACCCACTATTAAATAATAAGAAGATGAGGTTAGATAAGTCAGGGCCCTCTGATCTTTGCAGATCTCCTAGAATCATGATGCACTGCTTTTCCAGTATGCATCCTTAAGTCAGTTTATGGAAGGACTGCTTAGTTTTTTTGTATTTTTTTAAAAATCTCAGTGATGGACAAGAGATTATCTCTTGTGTCTTGACTTGCAAACTAACTTTTATAAATAAGGATGACAAAGGCCAGTACAAGACTACCCTTTCTAGAAACAGATGGCAGACATGTGTCTATGATAACATGTGTACTTCATACAAATTATTAAGTATTTATTAATGTGAACAGTTTTGAATTGGAAGCATTAGAAAAAATTCCATATGTAGGAAAATGAGTAAGTAAACTCTTACTGAGTAATGAGGATAATAAATTAAAGAATATATGTGTGATTTATTACTCCTTCCTGGAGAATACCTTTAGCAACAGCAAAAGTAAATTCAGATGACACTATAAAACAGATTAGTGGAAAATTGTATGCAGGATTCCAGAGAGCTTCCAATGAGGACAGAAGGCATGTTTAAATTACAGAAGAAACTCAAGTACTTACTGGTCTTGGGAAGAATCTTGTTTTCAGTTCCTTTCATCCAAGGTTCTTAGTACTCTTAAATATATTTCAAATTGATTTTCACATGCTATTGTCATTTAAATCTACAGATCAAAATAAAAATCAAAATGTCCTCTCTTCATTTAAAAACTATAGAACAGGAAGACAGTTACTAATGAATCCCTTTTGGTAAATTATTCACAGACACAAATGTAGGGATGATGAGCAGAAAACACTGTGCTTCACTAATAATGTGTGGCAGGATAATTTATTAGAAAATTCATTTGTGTTTTGTTTTCTTTGCTGAGGAAGAATCAGAAAGAAAGAGTTCACTGTGTTTTGTGCTCTGCATTTTTCCTTCTGTTCTGAGCAGGCCTTTGTGTTTCTTTGCTTTAGGGGCTTTTCAGGGCCTAAAGCTGAAGGTGCTTGAAAATAACCTCTCTTTCTGGCTTTTGTGAAAGTACAAACCAGGGGTCACAAATTCAAATACCGATAGTGCCAGGCAATACCTAAATGAACGAAGCAGATTGGGTTTAATTTTTTTCACATAGACTCAATTTTGTTGCATATTTATCTATGTAGGAAGTGTCTTTACTTTCACAGGATATACTTTCTGCTTTTAAAGAAATTACTGAAAATTAGGGCCCATTTTTTTTTTCTTTCTTTGATAGTGTTAAAGGAAAATTGCATTGAACGA